CATCGTGACAAAATCTTTCACGTCTATAAATGTAGTACCATACACTAGTAATACAAAATGCTCTCTTGAGCAGTTTGAAATTATACCACCACTGCTAACAAAACTAAATGCAGACCCAAATGTTTTTTCCCTAACTGAGGAACAAAGACAAGTGCCTATACAATATGGCATATGTTTATAAAACGAGATACCAGAAATGCAGGAAAATAAAGAGTTTTAAAAAAGATAAGATTAAAAGGAATCTCCTTTACAAATGAGCAATATAAACCTGAACCATATTTATTTGCCCACAAACAGAGCTTAATAATTTAGTTTTTGTAATAAATAATGGCTTTTGTGATTTTTATCAAAGTTAGCATCTTCAAGTTACAAAGGTTTCCTACACTTGGAAGTTGAATGCTTAAAGACAAGCAAACTTTTCTTATTGAAGAAGTATATACAACTTTTCTAATTTTGCCTTTTTTCTACAACATATACACACAAGCTCAAGCTATTCTGGTTCAGTGTTATCCAGGTTATTCCTATCTAATCCTAAAGCCTAAAGCAAAGAAAACAATCAAATATATGTCAAAAGAAATGAAACAACCACCAAACCTCAGGAACCCTTTTTTTTTTTTTGAATTTAATTTATGGATTCTTCTTAGGGCTCTGGTTGTAATGTACATAGTTCGTAGAAAGGTTCCTGGGACCAGGTGACCATCTCATCACTCCTGGCCTACCCAGAGAAGTGGACTCAGTATGGATGCTGCAGTTTACTTTTCCTAGCTAGTCATCCTTAGACAATAGCATTTCTTCCACACAGGATGAAAGAGGAATATAACACAATATGCAAGCAGAACACAGTAACAGTTTCCAAAGGGATGCTTTTTAAATCTGGCAGTCATTATATGTGCCTGACAGATAAACTGTCACACATACACACACAAAAAAAAAAGAAAATAGCTTTTCCTATTCTAGCTGTGCTTCCTATTAAAAACAGAAGAGGCCTTGGGGAATGCATTCCCATGGAGTTGTACGGCAAGCTTCCCTATTTGTAATTTTTAAAATAATTGAATACATTTTAAACATTGTATTAAACCTTTTTGATCATTCATTCAGTGTCTCACTACTCCCAGTTTTGTCTTGCTCCTGTCATCTGCCATATAATTACACAGTTTTACTAAAACCAGGTTATGAAAGACCAGAAAGGGGTCTAAGTAGTAGGGGCTGGCACACTGACATAAGAAAAATAAGGAGTTTAAATGATAAAAAAGTGATTTAAGTCACTGAGGAATCAATTACACAGCAATCAAGGATTAAAGGATATCTTGCTCTTCACATTGGATCCATTGCACAACACTGACCAGTAATTAAAGGGAGGAGAAAAATGTTTGCAGCTTCAAGTGTTACAACTATTCTACTCTTAGTAATGTGCCTGACCCCAAAGTCCAGTTCCCAAGGAACAGTAAGATGCAGCCATAAATATACTCTTCTGCAAGGCTTGTACTCTACAAGTATCTCTACATTGCAGATACTGTGTACTTGGATGGCTATGAGGTGTCTCACCCCATTGCCTACAACAGCTGTATTAAAACTACCTTTGTGAGGAGTCCACCTCCTGACTGCAGGTAGATGTACACAGCACTTTCCCACTACTATCCACAGTATACTGGAGTCTTAAACGAAAGTTCAAAGGCTGCAGAGTGAAGTGTGGACTCTGCAAGAATAATACAAAACAGGCACTTCCCATTCAATATAAGAGAGTGTTTAATTTAACTTGCATATTGACCCCAGCCGCCACCTTGCACTTGTTTTTGTCACTTGTAGGTTGCTGAATTTATATACAAGAAATTCACATGCCTTCTAACTTTTTTGAAACATACTCATCGAAGTGAGTATTGTTCAAAACATCCTCAGTCTTTTTCTTTTAACATAACAATGATTCATATATTCTCACTTCTACTCAGTTTCGGTCACTGCTGAATAAAACATCTCTAACACTCAAAAAGTATGACCTCAAATTTTAGAACACTTGCTGCACATAAAAAATTACTGGATAACTACATCTAAACTGATTGAAAAGAAAAATCAGAAGTGTATTCCCAGATTTGTCCCCATGGTATTAATTTGTTGTCCCAGAGCAAAAGAAGACATTAGGAGAAAAAATTAGCTGTACAAACATCCATTCCAAGATCTATCACCACACTATGCACTTAAAAAAAATAAATATAAAATAAGTGGAATATGATTAGGAGAGGGATTCTTTTAGTACTGTATATAGACATCTGTGCTTGCCTAACAAGCAACAAAAATATGGCAGTAGCATCCTATATTGAGTACACAAAGTAAGGACAAAAACTTACCACAGTAAATTTCTTTTAAGCCCTATTTTCATCACTAAAAAATCTTGAACTATGAGGAAGAGTCAGAGACATCGTACTCCAGAATATTTCCTTTCCTTGAAAGCTCTTTCATTTTCACATATAGTAGCACCCCACCCCTCCCTTTGCCTGTCATTGGAAATTATTCTTATCATTGGCTTTTCTTGAATGGTCCCTAGTTTAGAAAAGAAAGACTTAACCAATCTTGAACTCTTGAACTCAACTAGGAAGAAATCTTTTTAACTAAATTTTTAGAAACCCTGGGTAACTGCTAGTTTACTCCCCAAATTCAAATATTTTTCCGAGGTAGGTATTTTATTATGGAAATTTCAGCTCTAAACCGTATCTGATTTATTCATGTATGAAGAACATACAAATTTAACTAATTTATTGAAAGACTCAGGAAAAAAGGCAAGAAAGGAAAAAGAGTAAATAAAAACCTCTTTGTAATGAAACTTTGATCCTGAGCTGAAAAACGAACAGTTGCTCCATGAAAAAGAATCACACATAATCATAGAATATGCTGCGTTGGAAGGGACCCACAACGATCATCGAAGGCCAACTCCTGGCCCTGCACAAGGCAGCACAAAGAATCTCACCATGCACCTGATTCTCCAAATGCTTCTTGAACTCTGTCAGGCTTGGTGCTGTGACCACTTCCCTGGGAAGCCTGTTCAGTACCCAACCACCCTCTGGGTAAAGAACCTTTTTCTAATATCCAACCTAAACCTCCTTGACTCAGCTTCATCCAGTACCTCAGGTCTGTCACTGGTCACCACAGAGAAGAGATCAGTGTCTGCCCCTCCTCTTCCCCTCATAAGGAAGCTTTAACTTCAATGACGTCTCCCCTCAGTCTTCTCTAGGCTGAACAGACAAAGTGACCTCAGCAGCTCCTCATATGGCTTCCCCTTAAGACCCTTCATCATCTTCTTAGCCCCCTTCAGACATTCTTTAATAGATTTATATCTTTTTTTATATTGCAGTGCCCCGAACTGCACACAATATTCAAGGTGAGGCTGCCCCAGTGCAGAGCAGAGCAGAACAATCCCCTCCCTCGACCGGCTGGCGATGCTTTGCCTGATGCCCCCCAGGACAAAATTGGCCCTCCTGGCTGCCAGGACACTGCTGACTCACATTCAACTTGCTGTTGACAAGATGAGAAGATTTTTCTTCTGCTTAACAGCAGAAAAAATGAAGGAGGGGAAAATGACCCTCATTTAACATACCCAAAGAAACCCTGGTGTTTAAGTACAGCACATACAAATTTGTGACATGCAGATTTGTGACATAAATTTGCCATGGCTGGACAAAATGGATTTTTGCACAGCTGTGCGCATTACATCTCTGTCATTCTTGGTGCATTGTCCTCAGCTCCCAGGATTATCGTTTATGTATGGCACCTATCTATTAAAATGTTACTTTTGGCAAGTTGTCACCGGCAACAAAAATAGTTTCAAGAAGGATTCACGTTGCTGGTTCTCATTCGCAGGCGTATTTCTACCCAAATTTGAGGGATGCAATGCTTAGCCTTTTGCTGTTCAATGCCATATTTACCATTGTCTTCACATGCTTGACTTAGTTTTGTATATTGCATCCTTGCATTATGTTCTGCTAAACTGATATCTGATGAAAAGAAATATTTACATTTTTCTCATGTTATTGTTGGGATCATAAGACTGCTTCTCTTTCCATGGCTTAACTCACTGTCTGACTCAGATTGAGAGTGGGAAGAAATCTACTGGAGGTATTTTCACATTATATAGAATCATAGAATCATAGAATCGATTGGGTTGGAAAAGACCTCCGAGATCATCGAGTCCAACCCTTGGTCCAAATCCAGTCCATTTACTAGATCATGGCACTCAGTGCCACGTCCAATCTGCGTTTAAAAATCTCCAGGGATGGTGAATCCACCACCTCTCTGGGCAGCCCATTCCAATGCCTGATGACTCTCTCTGTAAAGAATTTTCTCCTGATATCCAACTTAAATTTCCCCTGGTGGAGCTTAAGCCCGTGCCCCCTTGTCCTATTGCTGAGTGCCTGAGAGAAGAGACCGACCCCAACCTGGCTAGAACTTCCCTTCAGGTAGTTATAGACGGTGATGAGGTCACCTCTGAGCCTCCTCTTCTCCAGGCTAAACAACCCCAGCTCCCTCAGCCTTTCCCCATAGGACTTATGCTCCAGTCCCTTCACCGGCTTTGTTGCTCTTCTCTGGACCCGCTCCAGCACCTCAATATCCTTTCTGAACTGGGGGGCCCAGAACTGAACACAATACTCAAGGTGTGGCCTCACCAATGCAGAGTACAGGGGAAGGATCACTTCCCTGGTCCTGCTGGCCACGCTATTTTTGATACAGGACAAGATCCCATTGGCCTTCTTGGCCACCTGGGCACACTGTTGGCTCATGTTGAGCTTCCTGGCAATTAGTACCCCCAGGTCCCTTTCTGCCTGGCTGCTCTCCAGCCACTCTGTGCCCAGCCTGTAGCGCTGCATGGGGTTGTTGTGGCCAAAGTGCAGGACCCGGCACTTGGCTTTATTGAACTTCATCCCATTGGAATCAGCCCATCTCTCAAGTCTATCCAGATCCCTCTGCAAGAGGTTACTTACACAAATGTCTTGCTGCTTCTTATTACCTGTTAGAATCTCCTATGGAAGTGGACCCATCCTTCCAGTCCCAGCCTGAGGATTGCTTGGAAGATGTCGTGACTCTGACTGTGGAAGACTATGCAGAAGACATCCATCAGTACCTCCGAGAGGCTGAAGTGAGTGGCTTGTAAGAAGCTTACAGGTATTTGTGGTCCCTGTGATGGGCTACAATACTGCAGAGATGTATGGCTGTATGGCTGCCCCAGGATAACCCAAGGCTGCCACTGAAATACAGAGGAGAGAAAGCAAATAGTAAAAGTCATCTCTGAAGGCAGCATATAGTCAGTGATAAGATCTTTCAGGATTATTGTGTTCCTGAAATTTCCTGTGATTGGAGCATCTCGACTCTTTGGGAGGAAGAATTCTCGCAGATGGGAATAGAACGCTGAAAAAAATACTAAAGCAGTTTGATATGATCCCACTGACAGCTGTCCTGCTATAAGAAGCAGTTTTTCCTACCTTTGTGTTAGACTAGTGAAATGCAGGCTCCTAATGAGAAGAGGGGGGGAAAAATGTGAGTTGTTCATTTTCAGGTCCTTCTGAATGATTTAATTGTTTGATGGCAAAGGCTCTCTGTAGTCCAGGAAGTCTTTTACTGTTCTGCTGCTAATCTAGTAGCTTTTATCTCTTCAGTGTAGAAATACCACTTTCTAGAGATGCCACTAGCTGGTAATTATTACTACTAGCACTATAATTGTACTTAGTAGTAATAGTTATTAACAGTGGAACACTGCTGCTCATTTTAGTGTAAGTGTAAAGAATGTTAACCAGCTCAGAAGTCCATAGTTCTCTTTGAGGTGAGCATCCTGATTCAACTCTTTCCAAACAGCTAAGATTCAGGCCCGAGCCCTATTACATGAAGAAGCAGCCAGATATCACAACAGGAATGCGTGCCATCTTGGTAGACTGGCTGGTGGCAGTAGGGGAAGAGTATAAACTTCGGACAGAGACTTTGTACTTGGCTGTGAACTTCCTGGACAGGTTTCTTTCCTGCATGTCTGTTGTCAAAAGGAAGCTGCAGCTTGTCGGAACAGCAGCGATTCTTCTGGCTGGGTAAGTATTTCATCTCCTGAAATTTTGGTGAGGTAAAACTTATTTTTGGACTCAGTCTCATAGAAAAGGAAGGAAAGAAGCTTGCAGTAGTCGGTAGTTTCTCATGATGTCTCAAGATTAGCAACTTCAACTACGTTGGCGCTAGCAAAATTAAAGATTTGATGTTTGATGTGAGGAACTATAGTGGGGAAACCTAGTAACCATAACAGCAGGAGTGAAAACACTACTGTTAGGCTCTTAGCCTGTAGGGCTGCAATAGATTCACAGTTGCAATCTGCAATTAGCCTTCAACTGCTTTAAGTGGACAGGGTAAGCAACATAGCTTAGTGCATGGGGTTTTGTATGGAGTGTGTTGTGTTACCGAGACATTCCTACTGAAAGTTTTCTATTAATCAAGAGCTAATGTGAGTGTGTTTCTATCTAGACTGATGACCTGGAGTTCCTCTGAGCATATTTGCCCAAATTTGAAGCTAAATTGTTAGTTAGCCTGGAGGAACAAATAAAATTAGAGCTCTACACAAGTCTTAGTAATGTCATATGGTCATCCTGACATAGGTCCAGCAGAAAGCTTTCTTTTGCTATAAATTTCAAGCTGACAAATGTGGCTTCTGTATCCCTTTTTCAGGAAGTACGAAGAGATCTACCCACCACAAGTGGATGAATTTGTCTATATAACAGATGATACCTACACAAAGAGGCAGCTGCTAAGAATGGAGCACCTGCTTCTCAGAGTGCTTGGTTTCGATCTAACAGTCCCAACCATCAACCAGTTCCTCCTTCAGTATATTCAGAGGTGTGGAGTCTGTATGAGGACAGAGAACTTTGCAGGGGTAAGAACTGTCTGCCTTTTGGGACTGAGGAGGGAGAAGCAATCCTTGAAGGAGCTGCCACAGGCCTAAAAACTGGATGTTTTGTAGTCTGTGGCTTGTGCTGAGATTTTTGGATAAATGTCTCATGGAAGTCCTAGGTTTGGCCTATCTGTCTGAACAGGCAGTTATGTGGTAGAACTCTGGTTGTTTTTTTTCAACAGTGCCTGTGTAGCAAGTCTGTCCTGGATTTGGTGCTACTGCATATTGCTACACAGTGACACAGAATGTCTGCATAGCTGCCTTGGACTTGCATGGAGTAGGCAACCCTGCTTAGAAACGGCAGGCTTACAGTAAAATGCCTGACCCGTTGCTTCTCTGTAAAGGGTATAGGGATGTACTGTGACTCTACTTCAGCAGAGCCCAAATTTTGCTTCTTAGAGCTGTCCATTTATTTGTGATCTCCAGGTAGGGTCCACCTATGTAAATGAGCCTTAGAGGATAGGAAGAGTGTGTCTTTGTTATTTTTACAAAACTCGAATTTTCTAAGTCTCTATCTGTAAAATTATGTCAGAGCTGATGATGGGACCAGAACTTCAGAAGACTGTAGATTTTTTCAGGCTTTGGCAAAACTTGGTCTTTCTGTCTGCCCTGAAACATGCTAGAGGATCTTCTGTAAGATCAACAGGACTAGAAGGCTAGTTTTTCTCACTAGACGTGTAACTCATGCTTTTTTTTACATGATACTGAGACCACTGCCAAACTTTAGTGCTTGCTGTATTGGACTGATTGTACCAGCTATGCTC